CAACACCAACACCACCAACACCAACACCAACACCAACACCACCAGCACCAACACCAACACCAACACCAACACCAACACCACCACCACCACCACCAACACTAACTCCACCACCACCACCACCACCACCACCACCAACAACAACATCAACGACGACAACAACAACAACGACAACACCACCACCACCACCACCACCAACAACAACAACAACAACAACAAAAATAACAAGAAGGACAAGAACAACAGCAACAGCAACACCGGTAACAACAGCTGTCGCAAGCAACATTAGAATCAACTGCACAGCACGTATCAGAAGCACGACCAACACAAGAAAACCAGCAGCAGCAGCAGCGGGAGCAGGAGCAGAAGCTCCAACCCTAATGTTGGCTTTCTGATCGATAACTACCCTACAGTCCCTACAGTTCCGACTGGGCCCAAAGACCTTGTATAGAGTATTGCACGCAAGCTCTCAAGGCCAAGTATCCTTGCACCCCTAGGGCAAATTTCAGGTGGAAGCACCCAAGCCCTATCCTCCCAAAGTATACCCCCGGCCTGGCTCTCGATACGCCGCAGCATCTAAAAGTCCTGACTAAGTATCGTTCAGCTTGAGCCTCAGCAAGGGACATGATCTCCTTTCCTTAGAGCCTTAATCTCCGAGCTCCATCTGAAGCTGCATGTTATACAGTAAACAGTTGTACATACCCGCAAAGGCTCGACGTTCCAGTCAATGCGACTGAGATCAAGGTTTAGGGTGCCAAGCCCAAGCGAGACTGCTCTTGCCCGACTTCTAGGAAAGCAGACGAACAGCCGGGTATTGGAATGAGTAGGTATGCATCTAGGCTTCAGGGAATACAGCTGGCCCGGCAACTACGCGATGTCTGTACCTCAAAATACCCGAATGCTATTTCAAAAACAAGTGGCTGGGCGGAGTGCTTCAACCAAGGCGACTGAACGGATCTACGCAGACTAGGGGAGTTTGGGTCACTTTACGGAAGGATAGATAAGCAATGCGTTCTTAGCCTTGCCGGTTCGGATCTTAGAATTCGATCAAACTGCGGACCTTCAAAGAGTGCATGCGGGGTTCGAGCTTAAATTTTTGTATACTTATCATGCTTGTTGTGCTCATGATGGAACGATGCGGGATCATTTCTCGCCACCAGCGCCTTCAGCTTCAGCTGCGTCGTCTTCTGCCGACGTGCTGTTAAAGAGTTTTGTGCAGAGCGAGGCATGAGGCCCGAATAAGAACACCAAGCTGCGCGTGCATGTGTGTGTGTGTGTCGTTCGGTGTGGCGTTTTCGTACTGTCCAGGTTTGGGCTTCGTCCCAGATCAGAAGGAAGGAAGGTCAGTCTGCAGGCAACACAGAATTTGGATGGCAAATGCTGAGCGGGCTTCTGGTTTCGATGAAATTCCACTGTGCCCCAATTCGGCTGCAAATAGTACCCGTAGTAGCCTTTTCCAACTGCTTTCCCATCAGACAACACCACCAAGGAACAACAAGTTGGCACTGCCAAGTTTACACAAGTCATCGGTGCTTCAAATTACCCTAAACCCCAAACCCTATTGCCAAGTCTTAGAGGATCAGGCCTCAGGGAAATTGCGGTAGCCCTTAGGACCCGACAGCGAATAAAGCAAGCGAGGGGGGTGTTCCAACTTTAAGCATGCAAGGGGTTTAGGCTGTAGGGTTTCTGCATTTTCTGAAGCCATCATAAGCACTCCGTAAGAGGGACCCGGATTGGGAACAGCCCCCCTCTCAGTCCGCAGCCCAAGAGGGATCACACTTCCATGGCTGATTGTTCAAATCGGTGGTGCTCAGGTACCTGGGGGATTCAGAAAATTAGAGGCCCTTTCCCTTGGGGGTTCTCATGCTGAGACTCCTGGTGCTTCAAGTCTATGTGCGGTGTTCCCGTCCATGTGATAAGTGCAGAAGGCCCAATTAGGGGACTGACCATCATACTGTCAGACGGTGCACCATGCTTCAAGTATCACTATATCCCTTTCTGCCTACAGCAAACGCATCACTTTTACATTGGCTCTGGATAGCCCCTGGGAGTGAGCCCCTGACGTACTTCCGAAACCGCAGTCTCTCGATTGAAGACTCCAAGGCAGTCCAAAGGAAGGGCTCAAGACTCCGGCCAAGGAAACTAGGATTGGGTTTCGGAGTGTCGTGCCCAGGATATAGCGTACAAGTGAAAGTTCTATACTTGGCCATAAAAATGTTTCTTGAGGGATGTGTGGAAACAAAGTACGAAGACCCTAACCAAGCCAGCATCGATGCGGGCTTGAGCCCCTCATGGACGACTGAGAGGCCACTGTTGCATTCTATGATATCATACTTCGGAAGATGGTCTCGGCGACCACTAACGTTCCAGATCCTGAAGGCACCTCTAGGTTTACAAGCAGCTCACATTCGACACGTGCTGACTCAACTACATTGAGAGACTTCCGTAGGGGCCCGCATTACCAATTCTTACACGCGCAGCCGCAAAGATAACAACTCATGTACCCACAACCGCCTTTTCAAGAGCCACTGCCAGACAGACTCGTGACCGGAACCCTGAGCCTTCCGTCGAAGGAGCCCTACATATCAAAGCCTAGATTACAACCCTTGGGATTCTTAGGATGCTACACCTGAAAGCCCACATCCCTAAACATCAAGACCCAAACTAAAAGCCCTGAGCCTAAGCCTCAAGCGAAGAACCCGGAAAGTAAACTTTAAGCCTGAAAAACTGGATGAACCCTCCAAAGAGAACCCGAAACATGAAAGTCTATCAAAACATCAAAACCCTTAATGCTAAACCCAAACCCGACTACGGACACACCAAAAGGCTCGAAGTCGAACTAAACCCTAAACCCCTAAATGTCTGGATCCATGGAACTCTAGCTCGTCCGACAAGACGGTGAGGCTCTCAATGCCATTGCTCCTCGGCTTGGTGGCTTCATACAAGATGGGGTTTAGGATTAAGGGGACATTGAGAACTAGACTGGGATTTCGAGGGGCTTATTCGACGTTTCTGACCCCCCAAATAAAGATCCACCTGTTCCTGTGGTCTCTTACGCCTGACCCTTCGAATCCCAACTCCGCCAAGTCAAGCGGCTTCTTGAAAGTGTCCCTAAACCCCAAGCCTCCCACATCCAAACCCCAAGCAGAAGTCTAAACCCTAAGAGCCGCAGAGAGCTCCGGAAAGCTTTAAAGACGAAGCTGCTGGTTGTAGAGGTCACTCTGTCGAATGGCCGCCAGGAGCTGGCTGGCGCCTGGCCCGAAGCGACTTCAAAGGAGCCCAAGACCCGATACCTTGTTGGTTAGAGTAGGGCTTTGGGCTCCTTTATAGTATAATCATAAGTATAATGAGGGAAGCCTGAGGAACATCATAGGTAATTATTTAGGCTTCTATCTCAGCGGTTGAGCAAGGATCCCAAGAGGTTTCTGATGAGGGTACAGGGGGCTACTGTGTAGTTTTGGGGGTTCTACACTGGGAGAAGGGCTGGGCTGCATGGGGATACGGAGTTCATAGAAAGGCGTCATGAAGCTTGTAGACTTCAGGGACGACGCTGTTCCTAATCGTCATGTCAGGGACAAACGCAGAAATAATCCTGCGGCGGGGAGGCGCCGATGTTGCTGGTTCTTCCGGGCAGACTTCTCAGGTTTGACTGCTTAGGCTTAGGCTTAGGCTTTGACTGCTTCAATTCTGGGTGCATGAATCATGCTTGCGTGGGTGGGTTTTTGACTCAGGCTTCTCTGTGGCTTCCTCTTGCGGTGTACTCCTGGTTATCTAGCTAAGGCTCACTACATGGAGCCAAGCCCTGGTGGGTTTGAGTTTTGAGCCATCATAAGCTAACAAAGTGAGGAGCAGTGGATGCTCAAGTCTGCAAAAACGATTTAGGGTTGCGGGCAGGGATTCCGGAAAACCGAAACAATTGGGCTTTGCGCTTCGGCACGCAGCACCTGTCACGTTTGGTTCGGGCTTGTACTCCAAAGGCATGTTGCGTAGGCACCTCGGCGAACACGTGAACCAGCTCGACTACCGGGGATTGCCACTTGCAAGCTGTAGGACATGGGGGTTGAGTCGCTTCAGGAACCCTGGCCAGCTGTAAGCCTTCCTGTACCATGATGTCTTGGGACTGACGATTTAGAGTAGACCTCAGCAAAACTTCGCAAGAGCGACGGCCGACGCTGGGCTGGGGCACTGGGGCTACAAAGGCTGTACATGCCTGACAACTAAAACACGCCCTTCTGACCAGCTTGGCTGGTCTATTTGTCAGAGGAAAAAAACCTGGGGCTTGCAGGTCGAGGGCCTGAAAGGTCTAGGCTTTAGGGCTCGAGGCACCTTAAGGTACCTTAAACCCTAAACTTACCGGACGCTTTACGTCTTGACTATTGGCCCCTCTCATCAGGCCCAACAATCCAAGCATCTCACGATCTTGTAGCAAAACGGAGAGAAAACTTGCGGCTACTGCTGACCAGATCTAGTCAATCGTGATCTTACAAATACTGTTGTCACCTTGTAAACTTCGTAAACCGTTCCACGACAAACCGCCGTTAAACCGCCCCACTTCGCATCCTGAAACTCCTGCAGGCCCTTCAGTAGAGGTTTGCACGGCGGGCTGGGGCTCCCCTTAGAGGTACCTCTCTGTAGAGTCTGTCATATGGAACAATCAGAATCTCATTCTTTCTGGTCCTGTGCAGACCTCCAAACCCCTCAAACTCCATTCAAGCCCTACTGTAAGCCACCCAACGCCATACTATACTTACAATAAGGAGGCCCCGAAATATTATAGACAATTATTTAGGCACCTACCTTAGGTGGCGGGGCGCAGCGTCGCCAAGGCCGTCCTGCTCGGATGGCTGGAACCCGCTTCGCTCATGTGCACGGTCACCTCTTCGCTCAAGAGCTCTGCGGTTTCTGGAGGAGTTTGGGGCTTTCGGGTTTAGGGAGGGGTTTAGGGTTTAGGGGCTTGACGCTGGAGTGTCTGAACCTCTGTTGCCTTTCGTCGTCCAGGGCCATCAGAATAAGAGCCTCTTCTGGTAAGCGCGGTAAGAGGTTCCCCCTACCCACGCCCCTCCACCGAAGACTGGATAAGATTGGATTTTGGCTTGCAAGCTTTTGGGACCAAAGATTTGCACGGCAGAGACTGGGCCTGGTCCAAGAAACCCCAAGAGTGGGAGCAGTCGTCATCATATGGAACCGAGATCAAAGTTTTAGACCATCCTAGGTAGAGCCCTAAATCTACAGACGCCGAAACCATAAACCCTTAAAAAACAAACCCCTGAACCCAAACCAAGGGGTAAGGACTTGTTGTTCAAGGCTGTTGCGCTCGAAGACACTACTGCCATGTTGCACGAAAACTTGCAACTCAGAATCGCTACCCAAAGCCCTATAATAATTGAGGGTTCAGGCTTCGGGCTTCAAGTTTGGGGCCTTTGAAAGATGCCTCGCCTCGAGGGCAGTCGTCTGCTTGCGGTCTGTAGGGTTTCGGGTTTAAGGGTTTACGGGCTTACGGCTTGTCGTCGTTTCGGTTCCTCTGTGTTCTGTTATCGATTGCGGATCACGGTTCTGGGTGTGCGGTCTTTCATCTGTTGTCCATTATCTACTAGTCTTCTGTCTATGCCTTGTCGCTTCAATTTTTGTGCCAATGGTTGCCGCTGAATTGATATCAGTGGTAATATGACAACATGCCTATATACTCAACTTACCAAGGTAAGGTCGGGCCTGAAATAATCCCTGGACTTCAAGCCCAACAGGCTAAATCCCCAACTGTTTTGTCATCACACGTGCAGTAAAGCTCTTATACTTAGGGTTTCACAAGTGCCCTATAGGTGGGGGTCACCTCGACGATTCAACCCAAGATAGTTTGAGGCTGGGTGCCTTCTTACAGTCATGTGCGACATATTATAGTTGCAAGATGAACTGCCTAGTACAACGGACGCATAGTCAAGAGACCCAGGGTTAGAATTTAGGAATAGGCATTTGTAGTTTATTGGAGTTCAGCACTGAGGGTTCAATGCTTGTAGTGGGTCCGAGCGGCATGCGACTGGTCTATGCCACTCCAATCCACCATTATGTACCTTGGATTCGCTTCGCGGGGGACGGGCCATTTCTGGAAAAAGAGATCCTGCAACCAAAGTACTAGGTCACTAGGTTTGTCAAGTAATCACTGGGAAAAGGAGTATCCTTTTCCAGATCCGTTTTTGAGAAGGAAATACCCACCAGAAAAGGGTACAAAACCTTACCCACAAGCACCTGCGAACCATCAACGCGGCATTTGCCAACAAGCACATGCGAACCTCCATCGCGGCATTTGCCAAGACAAAACCTGACCACGAGCATTTGCGAGCCATCACCGCAACATTTGCCAAGACAAAAGACTTACCACAAACACCCGCGAACCACCTCTGCGGCATTTCATCTAAGTGGCATTCGCCAACACGAAAACCTTACCCCAAACACCTGCGAACCATCACCGCGGTGCTTGCCAGGACAAAAACCTTATTATTATTATGAAGGTGACCCAACCTAACAACGGGTTTAGGGCCACGGGGTAGGGTGAAAAGAAGAACTGCAAGCCGGAGCTATCGGTTCAGTGGTTTGAAGCCACTTGAGGTCATGGACAAAAACCTTACCAATACCACAAGCACCCGCGAACCATCGCCGCAGCAATTGCCAAAACAAAACCCTTAAAACTGCATTTGCCAACCCGAGCACCTGCGAGCCATCACAGTGGCAATTACCAAGACCAAAACGTCACCAGAATCATCTGCGAACCGTTCACCGCGGCATTTGCCAAGACAAAAACCTTACCACAAGCACCCGCGAACCATCACCACGGCATCTGCCAAGACAAAAACCACACCACAAGCATCCGAGAACCACCACCGCACCATTTGCCAAGACATAAACCTGCGAACCATCACCGAGGCATGTGCCAAAAAAAACCCTGACCACAAGCACCTGCGAGCCTTCACCGTGGCAGTTGCAAAGACAAAATCCTTGCCACAAGGTTCTGCGAGCCATCACCGCTGCAACTGCCAAGACAAAAACTTTACCACAAGCATCCTCGAACCATCACCGCGGCATTCGCCAAGACAAAAACCTTGACACAAGAATCCAGGAACCATCACGGCACCATCTGCCAGACAAAAACCTTACCACAAGCATCCGCGAACACACCATTTGCCAAGACAACAACCTTACCACAAGCATCCGCGATCCATCACCGCACCATGCCAAGACAAAAACATTACCACAAGCATCTGCGAACCATCACCGCACCATTTACCAAGACAAAACCTTACCACAAGCATCCGCGAACCGTCACGGTACTATTTGCCAAGACAAAAACCTTACCACAAGCAACCGAGAAACATCACCGCACCATTTGCCAAGACAAAAACCTTACCACAGGCATCCGAGAACCATCACCGCTGCATCTTCCAAAACACAAACCTTCCCACAAGCATCCGCGAACCATCACCGCACCATCTGCCAAGACAAAAACCTTACCACAAGCACCCGCGAGCCATCACCGCACCATTTGCCAAGACAAAAACCTCATCACAAGCATCCGCGAACCATCACCGC